TGGCATTGCTAGCAATAAGAAAATCAATCCACATTACTAAAAATCCCCTTCCCCCCACCTCCCCCCCTCACCCCCTCTCCAGGGGGTAATTCACTCGGTTGGGAAGGTAAGCCAGTGAAGACGGTAACTCGAATGTTGGTAAAAGTACGATTAACTTGCTATTTGTTGATGGAGATATTCAGTGGATTACAGATATACAACAGTAAATATAATTTATTCTCGTTCGGATCAGTTGCACGTTACATATAAACTATTACTATGATTATAGTTAACATGATTACTTATTTTAAACGTGATGGATTATACTTATCATCTTAAATCAATGTGCCTAATATTTATGTCTTCGTGATATTGTTTGTTTATGATTTGGATTTAAAATACATGCAACCCAAAATTTTCACCTATTTTTTAATAGCGATCTTTATTTATATGGCAATTTTTTACTAGCTTACCCCGCAAACGTTGTGTTTGCGGGGTAAGCTAGTATTATTATTATTATTATTGTAATGGTATATTATTTATTCCAGCGCCTCGATATCAGAGAGCGGGGACAAGCAGGAGGAGGGACAGCTGAGACAGTACCACGTGGAGCAGCGGTTTGCCGACCGCCGGTACAAAGTGACCAGCGCCAGAACATACTTTTACTTGAACGAGGCGTCCTGCGAGAAGAACATGGAGGCGTTCTTGAAGAGTATCGACGCTGTCGCTGGTAAGTTATACTCTCGCAAGGTGCTCCTCCGATCGATCCTCCGTCTAATTCAAACAGACATTTAAGTTACGACGCTCTGAGCCGAGGTCCGAAACCCTAGCGGTGCCCTCAGACTAAAGTCGTATCCGTCAGGCGGGAGTTGGCCTTCAGCCGTTCCATAAGTCCTTCCGCGTGTTTGAGTGCCATCTGCACTGGACCCCTATCAACCGGTGATGCTGTAAAGGCCGGCTGCGGCTAACAGCATTAGTAGTCCCAAAAAATTGATTTATCGCACGATACAAGTATTTGTAGTCATGAGTGTGATTGTTTGTATTGATCTGGGTTTATTTTGGATGGATTGAAAATTAATATAATTGAAGTTGGGTCGTCGAGGCGAGCCCTTTGCCATCGATGAATTTGACTCCGACGGCAGCAACCCTCGAGTGACTGAATTTAAACCCGTATATTTTTTATATAGGAAATTTACAGATATAATATATAATTCAGATTATTGAAACAAAATATATTGCTTAACGAAACTTAGGAACCAGTGGCATATTTGGGATTTTTTGTATTTAATCTTTTTTTTTTAATTTTATTTTATAATATTATTATTTTTATATTGTTTTTTTTTATATTTTTTGTATCTACTATAAGATTTGCTCGCTTTTTATTATCCAAATACAAAGGTTTATCTGTCGTTGTTACCTTGGCGGCTGAACGGATCTTGTTAAAAATAAACATAACGATAGATTGGATTTTTGTATGAAAAAGCAGACGAAGTCTATGATACTAGCTAGTATTTTATGTCTCGATGTTTTTATGTTTCAGGTGTTACCAAAAGCACAGGCCTAATGGCCGTTAAACTGACCGCTCTCGGCAGACCTCAGTTGTTGGTGAGTTTAGTTTTGGATTTTCATAATATTTACAAGTTTCTGCTAAGGCATTTTCTAGTAGAAATATATATTTAAATATTCTACAGAAATCTTAAGTAGTAATTCTGGTGACGGCCTCGGTAGCTTAGCGGTTTAGCACACCGCTTTACGTCCGATGATCGCGGGTTCGATTCCCCGCAAGGCACAAACATTTGTACGATTGTTTGTATCGGTCTGGGTGTTTTCTATGTATATTACGTATCTTTTAAAAATATATATTTAAGTATTTATATAGGTTATGTAGTACCCATAACAGAAGCTCTGCTGCGTGGGACATTGTGTTAAGTGTCCAGGGTTATTTATATTTACATCTATATTTATATTTCAGCTCCAATTATCAGAGGTAATTATGCGGGCTCGGAACTACATGCAGCAGATCGGTGGTGGCACCGGCAACGTGCTCACCCATCACAAGACCATCGAGGACTTCCAGAGGTACTTCGGGAATCACAGCACCAAGCCCGAGGTGCAGGAGTTCATGAAGAAGATCACCTCGGATAAGGAAGGGTGAGTTTCAGAATATATTTTATGAAAATTCCTTATTGTTCTCCTCACAGAATACAAACATACATTTATATACACTTAATATATAAATATGTATAAATATTACAACAATTGACACATGAAAGAGACAACAGTGGGCGGCTTTATTTGTAAAGAGCAGAATATACATTATTTGTAACATACAGTAGTGTAGGACTAGGTGGAGCGATGACAAACGTAGTGTTGCGGGTAGTAACTGGATGAGAAAAGCTGATCGAGCCCAGCGGCGTGCCTTGGGAAAGGCCTATGTCCAGCAGTGGACTGCAGTGGGCTGATGATGATGATGATGTAACATACAGTATAGAAAAGTCATCTTTATAATATGAAGTCGATTACGCTTTCTGTTCTAGTTCTAGAGATCTAAGCATCTTTTAAACTACGCAATGTATTTTAATGCAGGTTTTATTAACAGATTGAGTGTATCAAAAGGAACGTTTATATGTATAATACATGTAGACCTGTGCGAAATCGGGACAGGTTTTTTTTATAGACCTTAGTAGTGCTTTCTTTTTCAATTTTCGTTACAGTAAACAGACTATTGTGTAGATTTTTTTTTGTCTATAGTGTAGCAATGCAGTGTGGTATATGAGAAATATTACTTTTTTATTTTTCTTTGGGAGAAAAAAATTTTTTAATAAATGCAAAGTTTTCTCTTACGTATATATATACGTTTAACCTATAGTTTACAAATAATAGTAAAGATTAATAACGTCTTATTTAGTTTATCGGTTTAACAAACTACCTCGCCTTCCAAAAGTCGCTGGTTCGGTGTTTACACAACACACTAATTGAGTAGTACAGCTGTTCGTATTGGTTTCAATATATTATGTATGTTTATATGAAAAAAATTACCACAGATGTCTCGAATACTGCGATGTCTGTGAAATTTGTAATACGATTAAATATTTTACAATATTTGTTAACAGTTATTTAAAAATAGCAAACCAATCAAAACCTACGTATCTAATAATAAAAAAATATGTCTACTAAGGATATACTAGTAAAAAAATAACACAAATTTTATATTTTGATTTTGTAGTTTACAAGTACATTTTATCGCTATCAAAATGTTGTTTTTCAATGTTAGTTTAATGAAAATGTTATTGCATGATTAACAGTAATATAATAGAGAATCGAAGAAACAATAAGGTTTATCCATTAAATTCTAAAAAAACGTCCTAGTTCGCAATAACAGCTAGTCAGAACAGTATTTAAGTAGTTATTAATAAACATTGCATTCTTTTTAATTGATAGATTATGCAGACGATGTCAAACTTAGGTAGGATGGCTCTTAAGAACTTGTATCAGATATTTATACGTAAAGTAAAAACTTTGTACCCCTTTTTACGAAAATTCCGCGCACGAAAGAGTATGCAATTTCACTCTTATAATTTATATAAAGAAGGAGTGCGGAATTTTAATAATAAATATATTACATCAATAAGAAAAACATTACACACTCTACCGTTGTATTGAAAACACACACGCTTACGTACTCTTTTGTTTATTGTTAGTCTGTGGTTAAATTGAGAATAGATTAATAATGTTTGTATTTAATATTTTTTGTCTATGGTCTTACTGAAAGTTAAATTAATTATGGACGAATTACGACCATTAGTATTAGTCTATCTCGTACATGAAATTTTTATTGGCTGAATATGGTTAGGCTATGCGCGGTCTGTTTACTAGTGGAGCATGCATGATGGATGAGTATATAGAGTCAGATCAGTTAGTCGCTCGTAGTGAATTCATTAAGAATTAATCATGATGGTTTCTAGAAGGATCCCGTGCAGGCCGGGTAGGCATATTGCTAGCATTGGGACTACCAGTTGCCCTTAGTAACAATCCCATTTCCCTATCTGGTATTGGGAACTAATTCCTACCCAATAAGATTGGGTTGCGTAAAATTTGCTAATAAAATAGGCTAAAATAAGCCTGAAATAAATAAATATTATTATTATTATTGATTCCAAATATGGAGCAATGAATATGAAACGTGGTCAAAAGCAATGAAAGCATTAAGTAAAATTGTTATAAATATTTTCTATTTAATGATACATTTAAAAAGGTCAAAATATGAATGTATTGACTTGAAATTAATCTTCAGATTAGACTGGAGTCTAGCAGACCTGCTGTCTCGTCAATTGTCACTTTTTTTTTATTTTATTTGTTTTTTCCACAGACAGCGGTCCGTGCTTTTGTTAATTTTATCTATCTCTATTAATAATTGTCAATTGTTAAGCATAGCGACATTAAAGAAATCTAAATTAAGAGTCCAATCTGACTATTTCGAGATTTTCAGTTGCGGTGACGCAATTGTAATGACAATAGTTTCTGTTGCGACATTACTTGGAAAAGCAGGCAGAGAGCTTAAATTGAAATGCTGTTAATGTTTTTTTTAATATAGGAATATTGACTGCTGGAGTTACAGAACAAAGAAGTAAAGAAGAACATAGTACTCTACTTATTTTGTTATGTAGCTGTACTTCCATAGAATAGAATAAATCTTACTGTGTGGGTAGATTAATTTGTAGGTAGTATAACAATATATATAGTATATGTATCAACAGTTACAACCTGTCGGGCATGCAACATCCTTCGCTAACGGAATACACTGACGAGATACCAGGAGAGGATGATAGGGTGAGGATGGACTCAAATCTATTAGACTATCGTAGCGAATATCTACATATCTAACAGGATTGAAATACGATGATTTCAAGTGGAATTCGATTTATATTGTGTGTAGGACTTAATACGAAGAATTCAATAATATATTTACATCGGGCGACTTTTTGACTAGGTTGCACTTGTTTTTATTAAATAACTAGCTATCCACCCCGGCTTTGCACGGGTGTATATGTATTATACATATAAACCTTACTATTGAATCACTCTATCTATTAAAATAACCGCTTCTAAAATATGTTGCATAGTTTTAAAGATTTAAGCATACATAGGGACGGACAGACAGCGACAGTGACTTTGTTTTATACTATGTAATGATGACATCTTAAACGATATGAGTTATGTTACTTATTCTAAGAGTAACTGGAGTCCAACTAACTTCAAAATGTTTCTCAAATAATTTGTATTTTTATTCTTAATTCTAAACCAGTTTTTATTAACTAGTCACACAGTTCAATACTTGTTTGTTACGTTGGAAGTTTATTATTCTCATGGGTGTTGTACAACAAATAGAAATTATTTCTTTCAATGACATTTATATTTGTATCTTGTACATTACATAAAGAAGTCATTGCCTCGCGGCCTATAACGATTACAGCAAACCAGTTTGTTAGCTCGCGAAGTTGTCATCGTTTTGGAGACCGTCCAACAATCACATCGATGCTGTCTCAGTCACCTGAAATATTTTAATTAGTGTTATGTCACACTTTTTGTATTCTCCGATCGGTCCTCTGTTCTATTCCAACTGGGATAGAAATATCGATAGCCTTAGTCGATGTTCTAAACCCTAGTGATGCCCCCAGGCTAAAGTGGCGTCTCTCAGGCTTCTCTCAGGCAGATCTTTCCGCTGGTATGATAGTCCTCAGCGAGTTTGGAAAGTCTTCTACGCCATTTTGTCCGGTGAAGCTGTAAACGTGAGCTATGCTCAAAAGCATTACAATAGTCCGAAAAATGAGTTGTCCCACTCCAACGATTTTCCATTTCTAGGAACTGATTGACTGGAAAATTAAGGTCGACTCGGCATTTAAAAAGAATGATGTAAGATCGTGGGAAGTGAAAACAACTTCACCGATAAGAGCATGGCTCTTAAGTTTTGAATAAACGAGTTGCTAACCGACTCTCCGAAGATGGGAAAAGTCGATTAAAAGGATTTTTTTTATACTATGATGGTGGCAATCAAGCATACGGCCCATCTGATGGTAAATGGTTGCCGTAGCCTATGAATGCCTGAAACACCAGGGGTATCACGTGCGCGTTGCCGACCCTTAAGAAACCTTAATATACCTTTCTTGAAAAGCCCTTGCTGTAGTATAATAAAAATTTAGTAGTAGGTTCAACCTTAGATTTTAATATATGTAGTGATATGTTTTTTTTAATTGATCATAATGGAATGGTTCATCCGCTTGCGTTAATGATTTTTGCAGGCTTAACCGGTGGAGAATGATAAGATGAATATGAGTTCAGGTCAGTTAGTCAGTCATGATAAATTCACCAGGAACTTATTACGATGGTTTCCAGGAGTTCAACCTGACCTGGTACATTGTTAGCAATGCATGAACGAGTCCAAATTACTAGCAATTCCATTCCCCCCTAGCAATATGAATATGTCAAGTGTTGACTTTTACCATGATTTCGACATTTTATAATACTTAATTATATGTCCTGATAGACAACTGATAGAAATATTTAGATTTAGAAATATATTTATAACTAACAGATTCACCACGTGAAATTTATAGCCTATGTGTTATTCTGATGTATAAGCTATATTACTGCATAGTTTCATCATAAATCCGTTCAATAGTTTTTGCGTGACAAAGCAACAAACATGCATCCATACTCACAAACTTTTGCATTTCTAATATTAGTAAGATATAATACAACGCCCAGACCAATACAAATAATACAATACAATACAAATGTTTGTATTATACTCGAATCGAACGATCTGCGATGAGCCGTGAACAGTATATTATTTTCCTGTTTACTTTACAGCGTCCTGCACATATTCCCATGGGGTCGGTCAGTGGAGACATTTTCTGTTGTAAGCGTTACGTCTCGAGTATTTCGCTAGTTCATTACACACATTATATAAATAGGATAATTACCGATATTTCGATGCTATTGCAAGCGTGTATCCCTAGCGGCTAAATTATGTAATGCTGTTACTGAAAGTTCGAATGTGACCTAGATTTATATCTATAATTAGAAGCTCCTGCTACTAAGATTAAAAGATAATAGATAAAGTAAGTACTTAATAGTAATAATTTCATTTATTTACATTACTTAGATACATTTTTATTATTAACAATGAACTTAGTCTATGTTAGTGTTGTATCTGGCTAATCAAAAATGTATTTTTTATTCTAGAGTTTGTATTTAAATTTATAGCTCTTTTATAGTTAGCAGTCATTATTATACTTCTACAATTCTTTCTTGACAATAGTTTCTTAATATATATCTGCGTATTCAGTATTTTTCTATAGCTTTCCTTTTACCTATACAGGTATAAAATAAATCTACAACAGTTACTATACTTAAATTTAAAAATTTAATACTTTACTTTAACGCTTGTAACTACGTCGAAATATCGACCGTTCATAAATGAAACAATTACGGTAAATATGTAAACAACATGTGTCCCTATTATATAGTGTGTAAACAACCGAAAAGTTTAATTGGCTAGTTTATAATTAGGCAAAGGTTTCCGTGTGTCAAGTTTATAGGTGAATGAACGATAGTATGTCTGTCCATCGCAGTTGTAAATGCTTCGCATACATTGTGAGGCATTTGGCTACTAGTTTATTGTACTACAATGTTGAACTATACCTATATATATATATATATATGTTGTACTACAATTTAGTATATCACCTTCCTATACAACGGAGTGTTAAGAATTGATTCAGTGTTGTAACAATCTTTTTTTGGAATGGCAAACATAATAACGGTAACTTGATGGTAATCGTCCGACACCTACATACTTGAACAGCGTTACATCACATCACGTTATCATAGGACACCGTGATACCACTCATGCGTTGCTATTCCAAAGGATTAAGATGTCATGCCTCTTGTACTGCAATTTATATAACTAGTTATATACTGCGGCGCTGTCCGCGGGACAGCTTATGTTACTAGCTAGTTTTGAAGCTTTCTGTACGTGTAGTAAATTTGAAATCGGTCAAATACTTTTAAGTTTATCCACTGTCATACAAAAATAAAAAAGACAGAATGGTCGTTTTGTATTTTTATGCGACGATGTTGGCAAACAAGCATAGCCCATCTGATTACAACTTTATTTTCTTTAGTAAAGTTTATTTATCTTAAATTTGTACGAGACCGGTCACAAATTCCAATAGCTAGGCTAGTAATATTTAACTACATTTGATTTTTTTTTAATTGGCTGTTGAGCCAAAGCCTATAAAATTACAGAAACAGTACTAGTAGATTACGAAAATGTTAATTAATTGTTAAATAAGCTCCAAAATTTACGATATTTAATACTTCCCGAGTGATCAGTTGATCTTACAGAGGAATATAATGTAAAACAAATTATAATTTTAACTTAAGAAATATATTTTTTCTGTTAAGTAATATCTACTTCACATCTATATTAGGCTGCACGGAAATTTTTCCTTTAACGAATGGCTAGTTATAAATTAAAAAAATCACAACATGTCTAGTACAAAATGGTCATTTTTTTCTTTTCTTTTGGCTCCATTTGTGTAAAATGTTCAATTCTAATTGCATTAGTTTATTAACAGGTTCGCGTTCCATAGAATAGTTTTTTTTAAAACTGTAAACATAAAACCTTTTTTTAATGTCATTTCGACACTAGGGCCTATCCATAAATTATACAATAAATATAAAATATACTATACTATAACATAAATTATACATAACAATGTAATTATTTTATTTATTTTTATGAGTGACATTTTCAGTACAGAGTAGTTTTTAGCGTCGTGGTAATAAAAACGTCGGGCTCAGGTTACTGTGCACCCACAAGGCCTGTTACACACAGGCCACCTGTTAACATGAATTTAAAATAGATGGTAACTACTTACATCTTCCTATTGTCTATTTTTGACCGTACACCCCCAGTGCAGTTGTATTCTAGATTAATTTGGTTTTGAAGTTATTTAGTTACACGTGGCGTGGTGGGCCGGGTCAATGTGCTCCGAATGTGGTTGAGTGCATGATTGCTGGCTTATCCGACATACTCATGAACGGGTGGTACTTGTGGAGACTGGTCTGTTTGAGTTACGGCCACTGATTATATTATTTCTAATTGACAAAAGGCAATAAAATATGCTGATGGGCACTAAATTCTCCCTAATTTAAAAATAAATCTAAAATCCTAAATATTTTTATAGTCATGTACAAGAACTGACAATAGATTTGGAATATTATGAGAGTCTGTAATATTAATAAAGACATTTTGATTTGATTTCGTAAAATTGTATGCTTCATTATTAATGAAATAAAAAAGCTCTCCATTTGAATTACTCCTAATTCTTCTCAACTGCAGTAATTAACTGTAGTGATCAATATGGATATTGGATAATGTGAAAAAATTATTTATTTGAATAATTCCTATTTGACTATTATTAATATATTAATTACTATGTCTTATTGGCTACGCTAGGAATGGGACCTCTAGTACCCATAACTGGCAACTCTATTTATCTCCCTAATCCTGAGAATATTAATAACAGCACAGCTTTATCCAATTCCAGAATCGTGCACCTGTTCCCCTGGTCGAACATTCTCGACAAGGATATGGGTTTGTCCGACTCGTTCCGAGTGCCGGACCCCAAGACTGGGCAAATGAGGCGTCTCATCTCCCAAATATCCCCCAAGGAGGAGGAGATGTTCAGAAACATGCTCCGACGTTTGAACCACATCATCCAAGCGGCCAACGAAGTAGATGTGAGGATCATGATTGATGCTGAGCAGACTTACTTCCAACCTGCCATATCCAGGATCTGTTTGGAAATGATGAGGAGGTATAACAAAGTGAGTATACGGTTAACTATGTAATGTGTTTTGTGGAATACCCACCTTGGGCGTCCATAAAGAAGTGCATGTGTTAAGTTTTTTTTTTATATTACGATGGTGGCAATCAACCTATCTGATGGTAAATGTTTACCATAGCCTATAGACGCTTGAAACACCAGAGGTATCACATGCGCTTTGCTGACCCTTGAGAAACTTTAATATACCCTTCTTGAAAACACCATGCTATAGTCTTGGGAGAAAAATTCGCCAGGTAGTTCATTCCACAATCTAAGTGTACACTCGAGGAAGCTCCTCTAAAACTGCACTATACAAGAACACTTAGGGTTCTAAGGTCTTGTTATATACAATGTAATGTAGTGTAGTGTAATGTCATAAGATCGTGTATACAATTTGAATGTGAAATAAGCTAACGTCCCACGTGATGGAAATAGAAATAGAAATAGAAACAATCTTTATTCAAATAAACTTAATATAAGCACTTTTGAATAGTCAAGTTTTTATTTTGTTCTACCGTTTATTGGGAATGCAGGTTTATCACAAGAAGAATAAGCAAGAAACTTGTGTGTAGCTCTTTTAAATAAATATTGATTTACTTATATTTAATTAACAACAAGGATTAGAATGGAATTCGATATCCGTGCCACATTCTAAAATGACCTGCCTGGTATGGTGTTGTAATTCTTACTAATATTATATATGTGAAATTAGGGATGTTTGTTATCCTTTCACGCAATAACTACTGAACCGATCATGAAATTTTGTACACATGTTCTTCGAGGTATTAGAATGAACATAGAATACTTTTTATTAAAAAAAAAACATATATTTTTATATGAAAAATAAAATATCAACATTTTGCTACTTCAGCGCCATCTAGCAGCCAATAATGAAGTTATAAATCAATTATAAATCAGCGCCATCTAGCAGACAGTGCCTAATGAAGTTATTTAATGTATTCAATGCGAAGCCGCGGCTAAAAGCTAGTATTGAAATAAATAAATAATAAAAGTCGTGTATACATTTAGAATGTGAAATAAGATTCGACATCTTATTTCACATTCTAAGTGTACCCCACGTGATGGAATTTGGTATCCATGGCATATTCTTACCCATTATGGGTGTCCATAAAGGTCCATAAAGGTCCGATGTACATGTCTAAAAGATAACAAATGTAATTCGAATGTAAAATAAGACGAGTGAATGTGTCACGGATACCAAATTCCATCACGTGGGACGATCCACGTGATGGAATTTCGTATCCGTGACACATTCGACCATGGACCGTTAGTTTATTTAATACTAGCTAACCCACGCAATTTCGACTTCATCGCACTTAGTTGACATTTATCATGACATTTCGCTCATTTTATATGATATCTTTTTAAATTCTAGCCTATGTGTTATTCTGATGTATAAGATATACCTATTACTGTAAAGTTTCAGCAAAATCAGTACAGTGTGTTTGCCTGAAAGAGTAACTTCATCCATTCATCCATATTCACAAGCTTTCGCGTTTATAATGTTAATAGCATTCACGCGTCCTTCAATAAGGCATGCTTTAGCGACTTTTTATAATTAACATTGCAAAATGGCGGACATCTAACTATCGAGCAAAGACAATTATAGAGTTATTGATAATTATAAATCGTAAATGTGTCTTTGGAAATTAAAATAGTAAAATAAAATGAAATGAAACATACGCGAAATAATGGCGTTCGTTGGCATTCCCGCGCTAAATTGCGTACGGTCCTGATCACGCGTGAAAAAACATGTCCCTGTAAAGGCTGTTAATACGACACACATTTCGTAATGAAATTTCAAATGTCTAAAAGTTAATTCAATGGTAAATTTTCTCTTATGCTGATGATGAATTTTTCTCCAACAGGATAAGTTCCTAGTATTCAACACTTACCAGACCTACCTGAAGAATACGTACAACGAGATCGTCACCGATTTAGAGCAGGCCCAGCGGCAGAACTTCTACTGGGGAGCGAAGCTGGTGCGCGGCGCGTATATAGAACAGGTCAGCTACTAACATTGATAAGAAAATAATTGAAATAATCTTAATTCAATATATATCTATATATTAATACATATTCAATAGAATTACTTACCAGAAACGTTCTAAGGTTTACATACCGAAAGTTTCAAGAAATATTAAGGAATAAAAACAATAATAATAACTTGTCCAATTTACACAGCGCCATCTAGTTCCGAACTAAACAAACCTAGATTTATGATCTAGGTTTGTTTAGTTCGGAACTAGACTAGTTTAATATAAATAGAAAAACCTCAGACCAGATAACTGCCTCCAATAATAGTTATTCTCAGATATATATATATATATATTATTATTATTATTTATATAACTTCAATGCACATATTAGCAAAGTACAAGGACATATGGCGCACTTAACATCTTACGACAATTTTCTACAAGTTATTAAACATAAAATATAATAAATAAAGAAGATATTATATAAGATATCAAAATAAAGATTCTTGGATCTTCCGTGTACAGACAGCGATTAGTTGTATTTTTATTATATGTATAGATTCTGTTTCACTTATTTTCGATATTATAATTACAGGAACGCGCTAGGGCAGCTGCGATGGGCTACGAAGACCCATCCTGCGAGAATATTGAAGCCACTACAACATCCTTCCACAAATGTCTAAAGGAGATTCTGAGCAGGGTAAGCTGTATTACTGTATATGCCTACTGCAGGTATATCTATTTTTTTTATTGAATGATTATGGAATGGTGCGCAGCCGCTTGCGCTAACGGTATACGATTACGGGGTACCAGTGGAGGATAATAGGATGAGGTCAGGTCAGTTGGCCCATCGTGATAAAATTTCCAGGAAATCATCACGATGGTTTTCAGGGGAAACCATGTGGTGGAAATCTCGACTTGGTTCATTGCAAGTGACATAATATTTTCAGTAAACTTCGCTGAATCGCTAAAGTTACTGAAACGCAGTGAAATTAACAAAACACCGATCACTAAAACTAAAAGTTATATATAGGTTTTTAGTATTAAAAGTTAGATATATAGAATATTTTAAAATATTTGATATTTTCAAATGGTTTCAATTTTAATGAATAATCATAATTGTACAGTTTAAATCTACCTATCATAAAATAATAACAAGATCCTAATTATATTTTTGTTTAGAATTTTACAAAATTTTATTAACTATATTACGACTAGAAAAGCTCTAGTCGTCCCTTTTCATTTTGCATGATTAACCTTGCTTATCTACTCCTTACATAGTATTGTCCACCATAAATACATAAGGCACAACGAGGTGGGGACATGAACAACATTTTATTAAAGACATTTATTGCCTCGAATGCTTGTTGTGTGTATTTCCAATAATTATTATCTAACACAAATAAGGCATTACGCGCCTTAATTTAGCATAATTTACCTTCCATATAATGTACTGTAAAAAGTATTATGGCTACTCTATGGTACATTTGTCTATACTAGGCGTAGTGCTGGGGGAACATACAAAATTATATGTAAAGTTTTCTGTACCTCTGGCGAATCAGTATGTTCCTTGGTAAGGCATAGATTTAAATTAGAAGATCTTTGGTCAAACAATGTATTCCTGGAGTAAGCGATGCCTTACCTAATCTAATATATATCTAACTCGGATAAGGCATGATTCGCATGTTTGCGCTTACGATATCTAACCAATATTACTTTAAACATTAGATATGCTACTGTATGTAGAAATTATTAGTCAACATATAATTACAATATATTTTTAAATTCAACCTAAATTGTATCTATTTACGCTGCTCTTTGCCTGGCAGATGTCAAGGAAATCTACTAGTCAATTAAGTGACGAAGAGAAACGCAAGGTATAAATCTGTATTTAGGTCTTAATGCACCGTAACTACGTATTTTGATGTAGTATACGATATCTCAAAATATATGGAGATTGTTAAACAAATATCTTTCAATAAAACAATTATTATGGAAAATTCATATGTCGTGACCAGATTACAGAATTGTACATATCACAAAGTAATGTAGTTATGTAAACACATTAATGTGCCGTTTGGTACCTTTTAATGTATGAGTATTTACGTGTAACTTTACATCATAATCACAAACGTGCTTCCTCGGTTGCCACGTGTATTTAATTCTACATATAACACATTGATAGACAGCTAATTTTACTATTGTATCATTAACGTTTTAATGAAATAGTCTTGTTTAGTAATATCTTATCATTAATCGATCAAAGCGATGTGGATAACTTATAACTTTAGATTTTTATAATATAGTCAAATATTAGACTATGATATGATCAATTCTACAATCTGATTACGACATATGCCTACAATTTGATTTTTGTTACATATGTATAATTTACGCATATTTCGTAATTTCTACAAAACACATATTATTCGATAAACATTGTTCTTATTATAGATTTATTGAATAGTAGTAACATTCCTGTTGTATTTAGTAATTCAGTACTTTGTAATGAGGTTTAGATTAATTAATGTTCAATGATGAATATTTTAGTAGTTTCATTCAATAAATTAAGTACATAAGATGTATAATTCACAAATACAAATGTATACATAAGGTTTTTGTTAGATAAATATAATATTATACAATAAACTATTGAATGGATTAAAGTGAAATTTAGTATACAGATAAAATATATCTTAGATTAACACATAGGACACTTTTTAGTTTAGTTTACTTCATGCAGGTAGCATCGGAGGATACGGCTAGTAAATTAATATATTTTTTAATGACGTGATGCAACCAGCCTGTGCTGACGGTATACGCTGGCGGGGCATCAGTGGAGGATGATAAGATGAGAATGAAGTTAAGTCAGTTAGTCCATCGTGGCGAATTTCTTAGAGATCAATCACAAAGGTTTCCAGAGGGAACCGAATGGAGGTTGACCCGACTTACCATTGGTCAACATGCTAGCAATATACCTTAACATTTTGACCAATGATATTGTTACATGGTAATTCAATTATTAACAGTCCCTTCCTACTAATAAAACTATTTGGCGCACTTGTAAAACATGCAAAATATTTCAAAATGTTAATGAAAATGATTAACGTTTCAGGCAGAGCAGAAAGGTCGGTTAGGCATCATGGTGGCCTCCCACAACGAGGATACGGTCAGATATGCCATTCAATTGATGAAGGAGCACAATATAAAGCCTGATGATAAGGTGGTCTGCTTCGGACAGCTGCTCGGCATGTGCGATCACATCACCTTCCCATTAGGTATGTATACACTTTTATATAACTACTTTTTTTCTAATTAGAGCTTTCTAAAACTTAAAAAAAAAATATGGTCATTTGAGCGAGAGCCTCTATTGATATTAAGTGGGTAGTGAAAGATATTCTCATTTCTCGACGTTATAGTAAACGCAATACTAAACATGCCCACATTTTGCCTGGTAAGTTTGAATTCAATGTTTTTTATTCATGTAATTGGAATAGCAAATAGGCTGTCTGTCCATCTGATGGTAAGTGGTAACTGTCGCCCATATACATGGGCACCACAGGCTATAATTTAAAAAGATATTATGTAATTTGGGCAATACATAATTATAAGTGTGATGCAGACGAAGTCGTGCGGGTGGGTCAGCTTGTAGATAATAATTTATGGTAACTCTTCATTCCAGGTCAAGCAGGCTACTCGGCTTACAAGTACGTGCCATATGGGCCCGTGTTGGAAGTCTTGCCGTACTTATCGCGGCGTGCCAACGAGAACCGCGGCTTCCTTGTCAAAATCAAGAAAGAGAAGGGACTCATCCTCAAGGAAATATTCCGTCGTATCTTCACCGGTCAGGTCTTCTACAAACCTGAAGGCAAATACACGCCCGTGTAAATCTTAGCCTTCAATCATTGCGTTATAGTCTAATTTGCGTTGTACGGTTCACACGCTTGTAGCGTGACAAATTGAGTCCAGTGAATATTGCGATTTCAAAATTGAACTTGTAACTAATTGTTTAGGATTCGTTTTCGAGTGCAGTGTCCCTGGACGACGACCTAATCCCATAGTATGAATGGACAGTGTGAGATATGGCTAAATTTAAGTGTATAAATTGATTTAGTGCTTGATTCAGTATTTTATTTATTAACGAATTTAATTTATCAACGCTTACATCAGTAGGGTTACGTAGTACGCTGTTATAAACAATTATTATGTGTTGAATAGTCATTGAGTTTTTACGTCCTTGTAACTATAATTATAGTAATTCCGATAATTGTATTGCAGGGTTGTATTCAAAATGTAGGTACCGCCATATTTATTTTAATGTTTAATTATTTATTTGTTTAGAAATATGTTTGTAATGACCGCAAATCAAAACAACCTTTCAATATCTGTCAACACACATATGTGACATTTGTCAATATGACAAACTTCATTTCAACAGTTTAGCTCCGCTCCATACTTGTTGAACAGACTTTTGAAAGTCGTCTGACAATCTCATGTCGATTAGGTTATTATTTATTATTTTCAATATCTGAGCAGAGGTTATGGAAAGCAGACACTTTCAAGCGAGTTTATTGCTGACTTTGAAAGTGTTTAAGTGGAAATCAAATAAGAATATATTTTTTAGACACGAGCGATATAAGCTATGTTACTGGAATGTAAATGATCTAACGTATCTGCGAAATAAATATTCGATAATGCTAAAAAAAGATAAATAGCATCTTCTTTTTATCATCTATTCGACATGATTTCAATTTGAATTTGTCAAAAGTTAACCTGCTGCTAATAGCATACTCGAATCGTGAGCAAGTGTCCACTGGTCTTTAGGGACTCTCTGACAGATCTAAGAAGATATAATATGTAAAACAGATAAAAAAGATAAGTTTGTCATTATGACAAATGTCGCCCTTCGTGCGTGTATGCACTCATTCTCATTTTGCTTTTAGGTAAAAATATATAATTACACGGAAATTTGGTTTTAGTAATACCATCCTAGGATGACTGGCGGAATTTTCAACTTCTGTTCAGACAATAATATGTCGGATTCTGTAGTATTGTTATTAGAATATGATATTAGGAGGTTTAAATTTTCAGTAGTGTATTGGGATCGGTATTTTATTGTGTGAATAGATTAATGATTGTGAATTAATGAATTCAAACACGCGCCGGTCGCACTGACTCGTTTCTTATTTAATTTTCATTACGCAAAATATTGAACGTTGCGATTTGAGAAATAAATGATTACTTATAAATGTTGTGAATGGTTAATTTATGATTATTGTAGCTATGTAGCTAAAATATCATTAATGAAACTGTCAATTTAACTTATAATGATTTACGCATTGCATGTTATTTAGGTTTTGACAATAAATTAATCAATTACTACATTTTAATAGTGAACAATATAATTATTTAAAATTTCGATCAAACGAATGTCAATGAATCAAAGAGCTAATAAATTCCAATGAATTATCATTATTTAAGAGAGACGATAAAAATAATTTCATTAGCGCTACAATGCTAATAAAACATTCATTGTTATCATCTCGGTTATCAATCAGTTTGCTGACATTCGTAAAATATTATTGGAATGTTGAAAAACAGAATCATTCGTACAAACAAATATTTTCACAGTTTGCTGATATGATACTTCTACGTCTTTTTTAAATATATTCAAAATTTGTCAAATATTTTGTTAATTAAATTCATAAAATGAATTTTATAACATACTTCCATGAAGTGGAAATGGTTGAATATTTATAAACTACTTATAGAAGCAAAGAAGAAAGAGAATAAGAATTACTTTACCACACTGAAATAGTGTCTTGGTAAATGATTTCTCTTTATTTTACTTAAAACTTTTATATGATGCTGAAAAAATAAAATAATTAGGATGAATCTCACTCAAGCGTAATCAACCGCTTTGTAATCTCTTGTATTTTGTACGAAGACGCTAATTGCCGACTATCATTTGTCTAATATATATAATATATATAGCGTAAAAAATGTTGAAAATCTAATTATAACATAATAATAAAAGTATTTCAGATACAAGATGTTCAATTACAATTTCTTATTGCATTACGTACCTAATGGTTAAGTTATTAAAATAACTAAGTCAAGGCAATTTACACCATATGTTTATAAATATTTCTCAAATTTAATACATTTATAGGCGTGTACAAGAAATAAACTCAACCAATTTACATTCTTTTACCACTCCTTGTTATCTTAATTTTTATGTCAACTATTAAATTCGTATAAAAATAATTATGACAAATTTTTAAGATTTATGAGCTCAATCACTATGTAGAAATGTTGATATTCGCAGTTCCTAACTAACTATAGGTTCAACAAAAGCTTTTTCTCTTTAAATGGAAACTATTGATAGTTGAACGTGTTGTTGATAAAGGTAATGTAACGGCGGAACTACAGTAATAGTCGCAGGCTACGAATAATTATTTTAAGTTATTGTAACAATAATTAATTAATGCATTGTAAGGCTACAGAGATGTATAGATATATATACATCTCTGTAGCCTTACATACATAGCCATACAACGGACATTAAAATTGGACCGCATAACTATCAATTAGTTTTCTTTTCTTTATTTTTAGTATTATGTTGTATTGTTGTTTTATTTATGCAATGTGTAAAATTATTTGAATCTTTGTTTCTTGTAAATTTTATTTATAAACAATTTACAATGTTCTTATCGGCTAATTATGTGATGCTATTTTTAGAATATTTTACGTATAGACTTTTAATAAAGACAAGGATCGTTTTCATGAGTATTTTTTTTTATTTTTAGTTATATTTATTTTCCCTTAGAATGGCATGGTTGTATATTATTTTGGAAATTATTGATTTATGTTTTAGTTTAATGGCAAAGAAATTTGACATCATTATCATTTTACGCAGAAATAATTATAAGCATCCGCTTATTATAGCTTTTGTGTTTGTATTTATATAGAAATTTTGCGGAAATATACCAATCAATATTCCAGTTGCCTAATATATCTATTTATTAAACTGGATATCAGACTGGATGTCATTAAAAAAGATACTAAATCTTTTTTAATGACAGTTACGGATTCTTCCTTTTTCAAATGAATCCATCATCCATGATCATATTAGCCCTCTATCTCGTTTCATTAATTAATTCAATAAACCGTATAGACCATAACCAGATCTGAGAAGGCAAAAGCATTGTATAAATGCTGTTCGAGTATCATAAGTTATAAGACTATACAAACTACAGTTTTTTTATTGATTTAATATTAAATTTACTAGATATTTAGGGTACATTTATATAAGACAATAATGTTTATATGTTATTGTATGGATCTTCATTGATTATTAACATTGTAATGAAATATCGTGTTTATGCCTATTTCAAAGTCGTTTGAAATTTGTGTATTAGTATTTTTAATGGTGTCATAAATAATCATTAAAACATATAACTTAGATAATAATTATTTATTTAATTCATTCTTCATTAATTTCTACATATAAAATACAAATAAATTATTATTGTTTTTAATTCTGTACGTAATATGTCAGAATTTATTTTTTTTACGCAATGACTCCATCGGAGTTCCGATGATTTTGCCAATGTGTTATAAAAATGTAATTTACTTTATTAATAAAGATCTTTAGTCATTATTAAGTTGAATATATTATGAAGTTATGATAAATTTGAATTAGTTTCATGACGCTTTGCAAATCACTGACACTATTGTGTCAAAAAGAACATTCTAAGTAGATGTATATATTAAAAATACAAAAGACAGATTATGTCTGTAGCGCTGAACGCTGTCACAGATTATACCCGCCAATATTTTTAATCAAATGTAGATTTTAAAATTGACTCCACCCATCCTTTGTCACATTTTGACGACCATCTACCGCACTCTTAATGTGTACCGTGATGTATAGGTGATACATAATTCGAAGTGTGACAATTATCAACATTCAGCCTTGTAGCAACGGAATAGCATTTATAAAGCGTAGCTATAATCGGTATATATTGGAGATGACATTTTGCAGTCGAAGTTATACAATTTCGTAAGTGATAATAATCCATTAATCAGGATTATTTGTGTGGTTGACACATGAACTTCTTATTTGGACGGCGTTTTGTCTTTGTAATATTAGCTTCAGTAGTAGAGACGGACAAAATCTTAAGAATCTCTTTCACTATTTCTCAACCTGTTATGTTCCAAAGAATTTGGGAGAAAAATGGACGTAAGGAGGCAAATTATCTCAACCGTCAGGAACTATAACACATGAAAATATCACTGGCGTCACAGGATATTATACTGTGATGTCTACGGATCTATTCATGTCAATAAGCGATGGTGACTACTTACATGAGGGCCGTCAGCTTATTAAAAGATATATTTAGAGTATTGGATGTAACGAAAAGTTCGTACCTATTGCAGGTATTTGTAGGTTGTTAAAAATTGAGACACCACATTTTGCTGTACTGTTCTATCTCGTACAGTTTGTTTTCTTATGGTCTATGATAATATAATTGAAATGATGTTGTTTACTGTGAGTATCAGGAACTAAGAATAATTTTTTTTTCATGTTAAAGGATTACCAATGTATGGCGGGGTGATCTTATGAGAAAATTAATTATAATTCAACGGCAAATAGTTTAAAAGGAAATGGCTTAATTTTCATATTTTAGTTATTAGCGACGGCGAAATATGGCTTAGTTTAGTCTAGTAATATTGAAATAAAGTACGTGTTAATGTTTATATTGGCTTTTATTTCTAACGATTCCTGTCGGATTCATACCTCAATGGACGTGACGTCAAATCTCGCAGACACGAAAAAAAATTGGGATAGTTATATCCCTCCTCTCTAACTCACTCTCCGGCGACGGAAATACTTACAACAGATTATTTAATTCGAGAAATAGAAATTATATTTTTTGAAATAATATATGATAATGATAATATGAATAGTCATGTTTTATTTTATTCTACCACTACATACTGACGATCACTGAAGAATGCCAAGACGAGCGTGAGGTCAGGACAGTTAGCGCATCGTGGCTGTTTTATCCATATAGAATGAACTTCGATAATTTCCAGAAAAGGTCGTGTGGAGGTCGAACCGACATGGTACATTACTAGCTATGGGTCTAATCCCCACAAGGCCCCCTCCTTGTGGGGATTGTTAGTAATTTAGATTGATTATCTTATTGCAAGCAATGTACCATGTCAGGTTGACCTCCACGCAGTTCCCCCTGGAAACCATCGTGATAAATTCTTGGTGAATTTGTCACGATGGGCTAACTGACCTGACTTCATGCTCATCTTATCATACTCCACTGGTGTCCCGCCAGCGTAAACTGTTAGCGCAAGGTGTACCATTCCATTATCATCCATAAAAAAAACCCCACAAGGAACCTCCATAGGACGTTCACGATGGTGTCAAAAACTAAATATTTTTCCTACTACTCCATTTGTTAGTAATATACTATACTATTGGTACTATATCCATATATGTGGTAATACCGTGAGTGGACTTGAAGAAAAGACTTACAATATTTAATTATTTATTTACGTCTTACATCGTCTTACATCGTTCTGTCAACACCTTCAATTTTTTTAAATAAAACTATAATAAAATTAATACGCATAAATCCTCCTTCCACATATATATAGATAAGTACATATATATAATAAATAAGTAGTAATTTTAAATGCTGAATAATAAAATATCCCAAAAAAAGAACCACAGTAGACTAGTCTGAGGGCACCGCTAAGGTAAATCCTTCGGCTCAGACCGTCCTAATTTCGATCCCCGTTTGAATTGGACGGGGTTCGATCGGAAGGGTGTGAAAGAACGGGTCGTGTAAAGGTGTAGAAAGGTTAAAAAATAAAACGCAACATGTATCAGTCAACAATCGTCAGTTTACTCTTCTTTTACAATTAATACAAAGTTAATCTAACACATTAATATCAACAACAATATTTCATAGAAAAACTAGCTATTACTCGCTAATTTGTCTGCTTTTCAGATAAGAAACAACCTACATCCGTCTTCATTATATGATGGTTGAAGTTTGTTAAATTTGTTTAGTCATAAAAAGGTATAGATAGTCACACGTGAGTATTTTTATCATTAGTAAGGATAGGTATGGACATTTTGATTTTGATGAAATGATGATAGGTATGTTGTGGTGAAAATAAGCTTAAAACTAGGCTCACGCGATTAAACTCCGTCCGAACGAACCGTGCTAATAGTGCCTTGGTTGCTACGTCTTTGCAAATAGTTCGTTCAGACCGAACTTTATAATGTGAGTCTTTTGACTGCCCAGTTATCTAGCGGTTTACACTTTTTACTTTCAATATTCGCGGGGTTCAATTCGTCGCACGGCACAAACATTTTGCATTCATGAGTAGGATTCTTTATATCTTATGTATATTATGTATTTACAAACAAAAAGTGTCTATGTATATCTATCAGTTATCTAGTACCCATAACACAAGTTCTGCTTAGCTTGGGACTAGATGGCACTGTGTGAATTGTCTAAGAATATTAAATATGACACTCACGGATAGTGTAGCTTCCTAGAGGAGAAAGAATTTTTTAAATCGGTACAGTAAGTAGTTTTGGAGCCTATTCAATACAATCAAACAAAAAAAACAAACAAACAAACTTTTCCTCTTTCTAATATTAGTATAGATGACTATTTTTATGTCTATCATTATTCTTTATTTTAATGTTATTATTACAAAAAAGATGCTCCTAATTTGAGGTAATTTTGTCTCTATCATTAGGTACTTTAAATTTGTAATATATTCAATTATTGTGCGAAATTGTGTACAGTGTACAATAGAATGTAAGTCAAAGGCATTTTTGTTTTTATTTGTATAATTTTGTTAGAAATATTCAAAGCTTTCTCTGGTTTAAGATCCATCATGAATTTAATAAATATATCTAACGTTGGTTGAAAGATACTATCAATAGGTACTCCGATATTATTTGATATGTTGAAATATGACATGTTTATAAAAGTAAATCAATCAACAAATCATCAAGATATAGAAGAATGTTTATAAAACAACACAGCCCATGATGAAAGCTGTTTATTAGATACTTAATTGCTGTAGGTATATAAACATGAAATTGTAAAAATAACAATATGATTTGCTCAACATTTAGATACATTTATTATCTAAATGTTTAAATCTAATGTACAAATCGTAATAAATATTACATTTAAAAAATTTTATTCATTGTAACTTCACATGTGAAACGACCAACTTGCGTTATTAGAACCAGGGGCAGTATAGCATTGGAGGAATGGGATCCTTGCATGCTGCATAATATGATAAAATAAAAAATATAATAAAATCATTTAATTGTTCAATAGTGCATTAAATAATGAAAAATAACTTATATCGTTTAAATGGAAGCCTTTCATTTAACACTGTTCTTGTTCAAAATTTAGTTTTTATGTATTTGTACTTCATGATTTTTTTTACTAACTGAATAATAATGAGTTACAATAATTTAATTTCCTAAGTTGAATTACAAAATTTCGAAATTGATACAAGTTTTTTTTTAAATAATGCTTATAGTAATATAAATTCGTAAGTGAGTATGTCGGTTTAGTATTTATTAGAACATCAGAAAAAACTTACAGACACCTACCGACATTGACATCGCTGTACGCCAGTCAGCTCGTGACTACGGCTAGTGCAACTTAGTCGAAACGTCGAGATAAATAAATTCCTAAATAACTGCCTTTACACGTATGCTCTTTCACGCGCTAATAGTCTTTCACGCAGGAAATAATGAGCATGTAAATTTAGACACATTCTTTCGTACGTACTTTAGCGTCTGTAATAATTATCACTGCAAAATGGCGGACACTGACTATAGAACAAAACATAATTAAAGAGTTATTGATAATTTTAAAATCTTAATTGTGTATTGGAAAGTAAAATCTATGTAATAGAATAAAGAAAAGAAAGTTAAATGACATGATTCACATACGCAAACACGCGCGAAATAGAACATGAAAAATAGTTTACGGTAGCGCGCCCTGGCTTTTCTGCGCTAAATCGCGTGCCCTCCTGTGTACTTTATAATTTATAAAAGTATAATTACGGTAAAAAGAAATAAAATATGTTATGTCGATTATATTTTATAAACATGTCGCGGAGATATACAGAATAGCATTACAGATCGCGGGTAAAAGAACGTATCGTTTAAAGGCAGTTATTTACCATAAAATTATTCGTGTTATATCCCGACTTAATATTAACAAGTGTAAACTTTAGTGTGAGAATCACAGTGGCACTGTTGAAGCTTTAAAACGTCAGTTGCGTCATGTCGTTTGATTATAGTCATCACTGTTCTATGGAGACGTGTCATCACATCATATAATTATTAGCTAATGACGTGACAGGCGACGACGCCGTCCTCGGCTGCGTCATCAGACGCGGGCGCTAATGAGGCGAGTTGCGTCGCCGTGGCCCTTCGCTAGGACCTGTGCCGACCTGCTTCACCTGAAATCAGATAGATAGTTAATTATTTTATTACACACTAGCTGCGACTTCGTCCGCGTAAAATAGTGACCAGGACCAAATAGTTAAATATATATATAATCTAACCCAATAAAAGCCAAAATAAAAAAGTTCCGTCGTTGTAGCTTCAAAAATGAGAAATTTACATACAGAATTCGAAACAACTCAATCATTAGCCTTAAAAATAAATTTTGTAGATTCTAGGTTTGGAAATGACGATACTTTCATCTCCTTTTCAATCCCTTATAACCCTTTTTATTTATGTATAAATATAAACATATAACAGACTAAAAAATGTTTATTTTATTACACACAACAGATAGGACTAGATATTACTACCGACATTTTCTGCACAAACTTTTATCTCCTATTTCGCACTTTGTCTGATTATTTAAGATACAAAATAGATATTATAGATACAATCTATCTTGCTCGGACTCTTTGACATCTTCGGTGGTTTAGCGGTTTAGCACTTCACTTTACTTCTAAGGGTCGCGGGTTCGATTTCTCGCACGATGCAAATATTTGTATTCATGACCTGACCTGACCTGACCTTTCGCTCGTCTTATACTCCAGTGGTGCCCATCAAGCGTAAAGACAGGGCAACATTCCCCCCAGGCGGATGCACCATACAATTATCATCAATTAAATGAAGCCTAGCGAATATTCGGTATTCGGCAGAATGACTGTAGCTATCTCTAATGTACAGGTACCACTCGCATGCTTATTTCATTATTACGCTCTTCTTCATACGTACCACGGCGCAGGCGCAGCTCAAGGGCGGCATGCGCAAGCAGCGCAGCGGCAAGCGCGGCGGCGAGTGTTGCCAGCTGCGCGCGCACGCAAACGAACTGTCGCGCTGCGCACGCCGCCGCCAGGCCTACGTGGCGCGCGCCCAGCGTCGCCGCCCACGGTCCGCGCCACCCCGCGCCGCCCACGCACGCGCCCACCTGGCAACACTCACTGTTCAATCTACTGAACGTTTATTATATATCTAACAACCTATCCAGATCTTTATCTTTGGCTCTGACCTGCTGTACCGTTTTTAAATAACTAACTTAAATATAAGTTTAATATTAAAAATAAATTCTTGAGGTATGTATTATTGGCTTTACTATGTAACACTATATATTATGTATAAATTTAAATAAGCTGTTGATTATCTAAAATAAATAAATAAATAAACGTTTACACGCAACAAACAATCATATTCAAATTCAAAAATATTTATTGATGAAGGATGTAAAAATTTGTAGATTATATTTTTTTCCCTACTGTATAAAATAGTTTTAATCGCAGAGTTTTTTGCGCGCGCCAGGGCGCTACACTCCGGAGCCCCCGACGACCCTCTGACCGATCCCCAATTCAGTCCAATTCAAACGGGGACCAAAATCACGACTGCCCAAGCAGAGTTGTTACACTTAGGTGACCCCCTTCTGTCACATCAACGTGTGAATAAATTTATGGATGAGCCTAAAAATGATGAAAGCGTGACCTGCAGAATGCTTCATTCTATGTCACACTTAGGCAACCCCCTTCTGTCACATCAACGGGTGATGTAATTTATGTATGAGTCTAAAAATGATGAAAGTGTATCATAATTTATGGTTGAGCATAAAATGATAAAAGTGTGACCTGCAGTACGTCCCAGAGCGCAGCGCAGGCACCCCAAGCGGCGGCGGCGACAGCTGGCAATGCGAGGTCTGTGCGCGCGGCCCTCCACCGCAGCAGCGCCAACATCAGCGACGCGTGCGCCGCCGCTCCGCCCGCTGCTAGAGCGCCGCGCCGCCCCCGTGCAGCTGCCATGCTCAGCGTTGCCGCCGCCAGTGCCTGCAAATGTGCTTATCATGACAATTCACGAGCTAAGTAGAAATGTGTTAGATCAACTCCTGTATTTGCATTCATGAATATCATTATTTGTACTGGTCTGGGTGTTTTCTATATATATTATGTATGTATTTAAAAAAAAAAAACAAAAATTACTAAGTATTTACATCATATCAGTTGTGCAGTACCCATAACACAAGCTCTGTTTACCGTGGGACTAGATGGCGCTGTGTTAATTGTTAGGGTTATTTATTTATTGCTTCTGCAATTATAATATCTACCCTGGACCATTCACAATACGCTTTATAGTCACGAGCTAAGCAGAGTTTGCGTTAGATCAATGCCTGCACATACAGTCATAGGTAATATTATGCTATCTGTGGTCATAGTAACTACCGTTGACAGGGGGAAAGGAGATTGTTATTGGCCTATTAGCGTAAGCAACATTTCCCACAGCCAGACGCACCATACTATTACCATCAACTATCTACTCGTCCCGGCTGCGCCCGGGTATACATGTATTATATTAAATATAAACCTTCCTCTAGAATCACTCTATCTATTAAAAAACTGCTTCAAAATCTGTTGCGTCATTTTAAAGATTTAAGCATACATAGGGACGCACAGACTGCGACTGCGACTTTGTTTTGTACAATGTAATTAAAAAAAAGCCCAGCCGAATGTATGGTATTCGGCAGAAGTCATTCTGAGTCATACCGAGCATCTCTATGACGACAGATGGACATATAGATCCCTAATGTGGCGTCCTAGGATGGGAAGCAGAAGCGTAGGCAGACCAACCGCCATGGTCTGACGACATCAGAAAGACGGCAGGGCCGACCTGGACAAGATGCGCCACAGATAGAACTAAGTGGAAAACTATGCAAGAGGCAAACGTCTAGCAGTGGACTACTTTATGCTGAAAGAAAAGAGAAGAGAAGAGAGAGATCACTAGTGTACAGGTACCACTCGCACGCTTATTTCATTATTACGCTCGTCTACATACGTACCACGGCGCAGGCGCAACTCGAGGGCGACATGCGACTTAGTAATGTGGACTAATAACCCTGCTGCTAGCAATGTATACTGTCAGGTTGATATTCACGCGGTCAACCATCATGATAAATCCTAATCAATTTACCAACAGAGGCTTACTGACCTAACATATCATCCACTACTGGTTCTTCATCAGGTTAAACCGTTAGTGTTGGCGGATGCTCCATTCCATTATAATCCTTATAAAAAAATCTACTTTCCGCAATTTACGCCGCACTTTATAGAGTCAAATTAAGCACTTGTATTGGTCACACTAGACCATTGGTTCCCAAATAGTTTTTGCTGCGTACCACTTCAAAAAATACCTCAAACCTTGCATACCCCTTATTGTAGCAATCACACTAATATTATAAATGTGAAAGTTTGTGAGTGTGTGTATGTTTGTTTTACTGATAGTCGCACGTACCCCTGGATGCAACTTCATGTACCCCCGGGGGTACGTACCACTAATTGGGAAACATCGCACTAGATAACTGATAAAAATACTTAAGTACATTTTTTAAAATATATTTTAGGCCTAGGTGGTCTAGCGATTTAGCACACAACGTTACTATATACAACGCGTACAAGACAACAAGTGTTTATACCGTGAGAGGAATCGAACCCTCGGTCATCGGAAGTAAGGCAGTGTGTTAAACCACGAGACTACCTCGGCTATCAAATCAATATATATGTATATTTATTCTAACTTAAGTTGAAATGCTACAATTCTATTGGTTTTACTGCGTTTGCATACCTGTAAACAGCCTGCACCGAACAAGGCTCTCCAAGCACAGCTCCACCCACCCACACAGACACCGTACCACTGTAAACGAAAGTAAATTACTATTTATTTACATACTTGCTTTTACGGGCGACTTCGTCTGTTATGTCTGTGATAAAATATATCCAATGTCCGTACTCGTGATACAATGTACAGTCACGTCAAATATCATTAACAATAAGATCAATTTTAACTTTCTACTTTAACATTAAAATCATGGTTTAATCGTCAAAAGTAACAAGTCAAAAGTAACAGTAACAAACAGATAGACAGATTTTATAAGTTATTATATATATCTAGAAATATTTTAACATAATATTAATAACCGGGTGGACGGGATTGTAAATAATGAAGACGAATGGGCAACTTGCTTACAAAAATGTTGCGAAATCGACGACAAACTTGACCTCATACTCATCCTAACATCCTCCGCTGGTGCTCCTTATATTGTTAGTGCAAGTGGGTGCACCATTCCATTAAAAACATAGAATAATTCACACAGTGCTATCTACACACCAAGTAAAACGTGGACTTGTCTTGTGTGACTGTTGTGTTTACTGTATCATCATCATTTCAACTTGGAAGACGCCCACTGCTGAACATAGGCCTCCCCTAAAAATCTCCATGACGATCGGTCCTGCGCTGCTCGCATCCAATGCCTTCCAGCAATCTTGGCCAGATTGTCGGTCCACCTTGCTGGAGGCCTTCCAACGCTGCATTTTCCGGTCGACGGTCGACATTCGAGGACTTTATTACCCCAACGGCCATCTGTCCTACGACCTAGGTGCCATGCCCATTGTCACTTATTACTTACTGCAACATCGACAGTTGACAATACCTACCCAGTCTGCGTTAAAAGTACACACTATGTGTTTAATACTATATGGTACATACCTTAATATATGAGGTATAAATAAATCCCTGTTGCAACCCAATGAAGAGACCCATTGGTATCCCAAGCAACGTTCTTGGATCCTTTACAATGGATCTCGCATCGGGCGGTGGGCCAGGCGTGGATGATGCCCCATACACGCCCAAGCCAATAGACGCTAGGGCTACAGATGCCCACACAGCTACCAATATGCGTCTCCCTTCAGCTGTCAATGCCGTGCCCGATAGAGACTGGGTGTTTGGACATCCAGCTGCACCGCATGTTCGCTCCTGTACAGATATAAATACAATCATCTTTTTTTTTAATTGGACTGGTGCACATTTTTGATAATTGCCCTTTTTTTGGCCTCAAACTAAAGTTGTATCCGTCAGACGGGAGTTGGCCTTCAGTCGCTCTATAAGTCCTTCTGCGTGTTGGGAGTGATATCTGAACTCGTCCACGTCCGGTGAACTGTAGACGCTAGCTGCCGAAATACCTCTTACAAAACGTTTTGTAAGATATCGTGGGTACTTACTTACCCACGCAGACGATTTTGTACAAAGAATTCTTTTGTAAAATTATATATGTAAAATCTACGTAATTGTAATTTCCTTACTGCCATACCTCATAATCATCTTCCAGAAAGTATTCTTCGGACGGGGGCCACTTCTGCAACGTTATATTGGTAGGAGTCGCAGACGGCTGTGCTAACTGCATCAGGTTTTCTGGCCAAATCATCAACGCGCCACCAAGGAGAAGAGATCCAAATACCAGTCCTAAATCTTGAGCTGCCCGAAGTGCCCTCAAAGCTCTTCGCAGCGCGATCTTCCTTCTGACCTCATCGCCGGCCGCTTGAGCTAACGTTGTAGCTGATGCTGTGAGGGCCAGTGACATTGGTGATAATGTCATACCACAGAGTCCGTACAAAGGCAGCAAAACGGATAATGGCGTCGCTACTGTATGTGCAGTAATCAGAATAAAGACCAATATATGGGCTATAGTTATAACAATTCGTGCTCCTAATTTTTGAAGGATTAAAGGAGAGAAAGGCGCAATAACGGCAGCTATGGAGTGCATTAGAGCGAGAGGCATGGCAGCGGCTTCTGCACCGGCGAATGCTGTGAAAGGTAATAAGGCTGTCGCACAAAGACCGCTTGATAGACAGAGGAGAGTAAAGCGGTTGACGATTGGTTTGGGCACTTTCGGTGGCTGTCTGGTAAGGAGCTTCCGAACAGATGCTGCACCGAGGGAAGATGCCGCGGAATCCCTCCTCCGAGGGACGACAGCCGGTTGTGCCACTCTCGATGGTGTTTTCGGTTTCTTCCACAGCCATTCTTTCTTGCAAATCGTGCTCACTGGAATCTGTAGAAAATATGCCGTACAGGTTATACTGTAATATAATTGAAAAAAAAAACACCTTTAACTGCTTCATTAGTCTGGAGGTTTAGCACACACCGTCTCACTTCTGATGGTCACCGGTTCGATTCGGCGTACGACGCAATCATTAGTATTCATGTCTCTTATGAGTATAACAATTTGAATTGGCATTTGTGTATATTCTGTAAATATTATACTTATTTAGTATTTCTAATTAGTCTAGTACCCATTATACAAGCTCTGTTTAGCTTGTGTCTAGATGAACTATGTGGATTGTCCTGGGGTATTATACATAGAATACATCCAGACTGATACAAACTATCATATTCATGAATACAAATGCCGTGCGAGGAATCGAACCCGCGACCAAGTAAGGCGGTGTGCTAAACCGCTAGACCACCGAGGCCGTCAAATTGTATTGGTGTGCGTGTTTCTCTAGTTTGGAACAAGCATTGTGTGATTTGTGGTAAAAATTGAGGCCTTCAAATTGTTTTGGTCTGTGTTTTGCTCTAATGAATAAACAAAATAATAAATAAACCATATTTCACACAATGCTTGTGTCATGCTTGTTTCAAACAAGCATTGTGTGAAATATGGTAAAAATCGAGGCCATCAAATTATGTTGGTCTGTGTGTTTCTCTAATTTGGTATTGTGTGAAATGTGGTAAAAATATAAAGGAATACCTGAGGTATGACGGCGCGGTGGCGATGAGGGTCGGACACCGTCCGCGAGGCGGTCCGTCCGACCGGCGACGGACGCGAGCGCTCCGTCAAGTCTGGTAGACTGCCCATATACGCCGGCACCTCGCCTGACAACTACCTCCTTTCTCCCATTCCTGGTGAAGTTAATATTAAGTGACTACTAGAAGGAATGTAAACTTCTCATTTATAAGGCAAAACAAATATATAAGCCAATTTGGACATATGGGATACAACTGTTGCTCTCTGCCAGTGACTCTAACATAATGATAATACAGAGAGTTCAAAACTATATATTAAAACAACTTTCGAAAGAACAGTGGTTTATAAGGATAACTGAGGTTAATATAAAATAATAATAATAACCCTAGACAATTAACACAACCATCTAGTCCCATGGTAAGCAGATTACACTACAGTCTATTAGACATCAGAAAAAATATTTAGAGATTTTTTTATATAATTAAATACCTACCTAGACCGATACAAACAATCATACTCATGAAAACAATGGTGGCACCGTGCGAGGAATCGAACCCTCGACAATTGGAAATAAAGCAGTGTGCTAAACCGCTAGAACACCGAGGCCGTCATACATGATATATCCATTATTAAGGATGTAATCACTGAATACGGCAACAAATACAAATGGCGACTACAAAGGCACCCAAATAAATTCATTGGGCAACTTACAATACTCAAAAACGTGCTACGATTAAAGAAAAGGCGTGATATATTTGACCAAGATACTCAGACTGGAGACTGAGGTTAAAGAACAAGGGGCTGTTCTATTGGGAGCGGCACTCTACCATCACATCATGATTGATGTGAAAAAAGAAGACAAAAAGGAGGGTAGTTTAGTATTCTTTCTATTCCTGTTCGGGGCTTGCGTAGCTCCTCACCGAAGCGCGATAGCAAAACTTTTAAACGACATATTGCCGTAAAAAATTACGTTTAGCACACCGCCTTATTATAACATATATTATATATAGTTATATATATATATTATAATATATATATAACTAATTGTTTATCGATAACCGAACCTTCCGAATAGACGTTCATCCCTAACCCTCAAACGGCGCATGCGTCAAGATACACCGTTAGATAAAACAGCGTAAGTTATGTTTTTTGTATAGAGTATCTTACTTTACTGCGTACGTAATGTTTTATTTTCATTTCACAAAACTAGTAAAATAATTAAAGAAAGTCGTATCTAAACAATTTAAACAATCGAATAACAAATCTGTTTTAAGACACGAAGAATTCTTTTTGCTTGGTTGGCTACTTAGCTAATCATTACATAGTACAGAATAAAGTCGCTGTCGCCGTCTGTCCGTCTCTATTAGGGTTCATGATTTCTCGAGCTTCTCAATTTCTCGGGTCTCGAGAATTCTCGAGGTTAATTTCTCGGGTCTTCTCGGGTTGTCGAGAAATTTACATTTACGTACGTTTTCTCACATTATTTGGTTCTAATAACGTCAAAAAACTCAGTGGTTTCATTTGAGAGGAAAACCACTGCATTATTTGTTAAATATTAAATTTAAAATTTAACTATAAAATTAATTATAAAACTTTTATTGAGTATATTTAAAAACATTATACATATTATGAATAAGTAAAATTTTGTTTGAATACTGAAATATATTAGGTTCTTAAATATGAAATTAGCGTTTTGTCGCACTGGCCACATTGATCTTAAATATCTCCTCTTTGGTTAGAAATTTCCAATTTCAAATTTATATGGCTATTCACTCATGTACCTATTTGTTTTTCGAAAACCGTAATACATATGCTTGGTTTTTTCTTTGGGTCACTCAGCTTACAAAATGGAAAACTTAAAATATCGCGTCATTTACAAGTACGAGTACGAGTTCCGCCATGGCACTTGTGCTGCTTATGCAGTACTAGTGCCATGGCTAGCTCGAATTGCCAGCTCGAAGGATTAATGATGTGATTGTGTTTTCTTTTGCGACACCACCGCCATGGTGGTGTCGCAAAAGAAAACACAATACACTTTTGGTTCCAACGTTTTCGTTCTGGAAATCGACCTGCAAAACAAACCCCGTGGGCGGCCGGAGTCCAAGGTTGGTAATGCAGAATTGAAGGCTATTGTGATAACAGATCAATCGCGAACCACGTCCGCGTTAGTTGCAGGTTGCGGTTTTAGTGACAAAACTGTATTAATCCACTTGTAGAAAATTGGGGGGATGAAAAAGCTTGAAAGGTGGGTCCCTCATGAATTGAGTGGACAATTCGCGTTTCGATCGACAAACGCGCGTAGACTGCTGCGTTACATTAGTCAACCGGCATAATCATAAAGGGATTTTAAATCGAATCATTACCTGTGATGATGTGGATCTTGTATGATAATTGGAAACGCTCATCGCAATGGCTGAATCAGCAATTGAGAAACCATAATGGAAAAGCTAGCTGCTAAACAACCGAGGCTGGTAAATCGCCATAGGCCACTGCTGCTTCAGGACAACGCTAGACTACACATTGCACAACTGACATTTACCAAATTAGAAGAGATTCAATTATAATGTCTAAGACAACCACCGTACTCCCCGGACCTTGCTCCAACAGATTACCATTTTTTTCGAAATTTGGATAACTGATTGGGAAAAAATTCAAATCCGATGGGGCAGACCAAAGTGCCTTCAAAGATTTTATTGATATGTCCAAATGTTCTCGTTCAAATGTTTTTTTTCAGTAAAGGGATCAATGAAGTACCTTTGAGATGGCAAAAGTGCATAAATAGCAATAGTATAAAGTTTGATTAAATAAACATGTTATATTTTGAAAACAAATACTTCAGGTTACTCCCTTACAAAACACCACTTTCATATGTTAGGACCTAATATTATTCAGACTTATATTTATAATGACAGCACCATTTTTGGCTGGTTATTTAGAAAAAAATCTACCTTAAACTTGTAAACAAAAATAGTTTCTGTAAAACAAAAAAAAATTACATGAAAGAAAACCTTAATATCTTGAATTATTACGCCGCCACGCAATAAAACAAACGGCAATTTAATTTCTATATAGGTACTTGATTTCTCGAGTTCTCGACTTTTCTCGAGCTTGATTTCCCGGGAACAAAACTCAACGATTTCCCGGGAATTCTCGACCCGAGAATTCCCGGGAATGAACCCTAGTCCCTATGTTAACTTAATTCTTTAAAACAACGCAACGGATTTTGAAGCGTTTTTTTATATAGCGTTATAAATATAATAATGCATGTACACCGGTGCGAAGCCGGGCCGAGTAGCTAGTTGTAAATAAAATAATAGAATAGAAATAATAATATAATTAAATAACAAATAGGATAATATATAAAGGATCAATAACATTTTTGCTATTTTAGGAAACCGAAAGGTTTTTTATTTATTATTATTTTTATTATATGAGTTTAAAAATATGACTCGAGGAGTATGCGTGCATGTTGGTTTTCTGAGTAATTTCTTATCATTATCTTTCTATCAACTTCTTTGTTTGGTTCTGGTGAATTTATCGATAACTAAGGTCATCTGCCAGGGTACATTGCTATGAATGGGATCACTATCCCATATATATTACGGCCTCGGCCTCGGTGGTCTAGCGGTCTAGCACACCGCTTTACGTCCGATGGTCGCGGGTTCGATTCCTCGCACGGCACAAACATTTGTATTCATGAGTCTGATTGTTTGTATCGGTCTGGGTATTTTCTATGTATAAGATTGAAGCATTTACGAAAAAAAAATTATCTATGTATTTGTATCAGTTATCTAGTACCCATAACACAAGCTTTAACTAGCTGTACTTGGGTTTATATGGCGCTGTGTGTAAATAGTATTTAATACTGGCCCCAAAACAGATCCCTAGGACACCTCAGTTAATATTTGGTGGAATTTTGATGTGTGAACTCCCTTCTTGACCTGGAATAGTCTATCCGATAACTAAGATGTTATAGTATGTATGAGGCAAATTTCATTGTAATTGGAAAACATTTTTGGTATTTGTGCCATGATAACATGATATCCGTGGCGTTGTTCATGTAGACCATTACCGCTTATCAACATTAGCACTCGTTTATCAGCATGTATCATTTATACACTCAATATAGATAGAGACAGATTGTGAGACAGTTAACCCGATATGGTACATTGCTAGTCATCAGGTCATTAGTCTATATTACTAACAATACCTTACCCTCCAATGACAAGTGTATATATATATATATATATAAATATCCCCTTGGGCACTTTGTGGCTCAGACGTGCCGTATAGGTAGTTTTTTGTTGATCCTTTTTCACTTGTTGATCCGGAGGCCTTTTGTTGATCTAATGCCAGCTGACCATATATAAATGTTGATCCGTTTTGAGCCACAACTGTCACGACGAGTAATAATAATAATTAAGCGATTTATACACGATTTTATACAAATCCACCTTTTTGGCATACGAGCAGTTCTTGATCCAATTCAAACGGGCCAATCAGGGTGCAGCATTTGCCAAGGGCTTCCTCATTGGCACGTTTGGGCTACTACATTATGGCTACAGTAACTTAATAATGTCTAGCTAGTATTTCAAAAATAATAGTCTACCTAATCTAAATATTTATAGAAATCAGTCTGGAGTAACGTGACTCCAGATCAAACCTCAATACTTGTTATTTTTTGGACGGGAATTTTTCCTTTTGTAACAACGTTACTGAGCGAATGAAGAGAAGACGTAACGGCGGATCCAGGGGGGAGCGTCATGGAGGTCTTGGGAGTCATGGGGGGTCATGACTCTCCCCCCTTAGCCCAGAACTTAGGTAGACCACTAATTGAACTAAAAAATAATGAAACAGCTAAATTTTTTGCACGATCGGAGTGTTGGTGCAGTAGTATTAATTATAATTAAACATTGTTACTTAAAACATAACAGTTAAAGTACTATAACACTAAAAGCAAAATAGGTATTTTCAAAATACTTTTTCAAAATAAATTACCCTTTGAGTTTTTGTTCAAACCTCAGATATTATATTTATTTTAGGTATATCAATCAATACATAGTATAGCATAGTACAGTCTGTCTGTCTGTCTGTTTGTTCCGGCAGGTAGC